CAGAACCAGCGGTGGACCGACTGTATTGTGGCATTGGCCTTGAGTGTGTTTAAAGCAGCACAGTCCGTTCTTCTTTGTGCTTCAGTCACAGTCAGTCAGCCACACACACACACACACACACACACACACACACACACACACACACACACACACACACACACACACACACACACACACACACACACACACACACACACACATTGTTCTCAGTGACATTTGAGCCGTTTCCTTGGAGATATTTTTTGACTGCCACCTGAAAGGAACATTTAGAGACGTGCTTCATGGGCGGTCCTTTATTGGTGTGTGTGAAGGCTCTGACTGTACACTGTATATGTATGCATGTGTGTATGTGCGCACTGGTATCTATTAATGGCTGCTGTGCCTTGTTTTAATGAGGCTGCCTCGATGGCCCAGAGGATGCTCAGTGACAGCGGCACTCTGCCGAAGAGACTATTTACATAATACTGTGTGCACACAGGCATGTCTGTGAGACTGAATAAAAGAGAGGCAGAGAGAGAGGGGAATGTTGTGTTTGAGCCGCATTGTGTGCAGTCTCCTTCTCACACATAAAACCATCCTTATTGTTATTCCACATTTTTGTGCATGCCATCCCTCTCCCCATCTCTTCTTTATGCTTCCTGCTGGATAATCTCATGGCGCACCTTCCCCTGAATCTTTATTCAGAGAAGAACCTTGACCGTCTCGCTCCCCTTTTGTTATTTTTCTTCTCTCCAGGACACAGGCAGCACAAGGTTATTTACTTTCCAGCAGAGCTGCTAAAAAGCACTGAAGAAAACAAAGAAACACATCTCTCTTTTGAAGGAGAATCATCGATTTATTTATATCACATAATTCTAGCATTAGAATTTCAAGTCAGTTTTATATTTTACATTATGTTTTCCCCCCAAAAACTATTTCATAAAAATATCTATTTGGGTTTCAAAATGATTATAATCGTGTAAAAAAGACGGAAAATTGTCAAGACTCTAAAAATACATTTTCTAATTTTACTTCGACTAAGTAGCTCATTTGCACATTCTCTGCAATTTTCTCGCTCCCTTCAAATCCGAGAAGCGTTTTCCTTGCTGTCAACATTGCAAAAGGAGCTCATTTACTGTGAGCTGTGGTGATCAGTGTCTCGCTTTATAGGCAATAAAATACGTGCAAACTGAAAATGATGAGCATTTAGTTTTTTTGTTTAGGTGTGTAATCAAAAAGGCTCTGACTTGGCACCTCAGACACAAAGAAACAATCTGACCACACGCACTCTGCCAAGCATTTCCTCTCCTCCTGTTGTATCTCATTAACTCCTATTCAGTGTAAATTATTCTGCCTTTTACCTTTCCCGCTCCTTCTCCCCTGACAGGCTTCCACCATTTCCTCTTCCATCCTTCCTTCCTCTCGTGCCAACTCTGTACCTGTACATTTTAATTAGCTTGTCAGAAGCAGGAAAATAACAATCCTAATGGGATCTACACAGTGCAAACAATAACCATCGCTGTTCCTACGGTTGTCTTCACTTATTACCGTAGTTGTCATGCTTGTGCTGTATCGAGGTAAAGTAGGGGTCGCTGCTGTGTCTTCGGGGAGAGCGCTTTATGAGCCGGAGTCAGTTAGTGTGATTGGTAACGGACATTTCTAGCCTCACCTTGATAATTGGAATCCGCCCAATTTCACGTCTACCTTTGTGAGGCACTTAGCAACTCCAAGAGGCTTGCTCAAGGGCGAGAGAGAGAGAGAGAGAGAGAGAGAGACGAGAGAGACCGAGAGACCGAGAGAGAGAGAGAGACTGAGAGAGACAGAGAGAGAGAGAGAGAGACCGAGAGAGAGAGACCGAGAGAGACTGAGAGAGACTGAGAGAGACCGAGAGACCGAGAGAGAGAGAGAGACCGAGAGAGAGAGACCGAGAGAGAGAGAGAGAGAGAGAGAGAGAGAGAGAGAGAGAGAGAGAGAGAGAGAGAGAGACCGACCTTCGTCCTTAAATCCTTGCAGTTATTTGCTTTTGAGATTCTCCTCTGAGCTCATTAATAGAAGGCTTCTGGACAAATGCCTGGTATACTGATGAAGGCATAGCACTAACACACACACACACACACACACACACACACACACACACACACACACACACACACACACACACACACACACACACACACACACACACAAACACTCTCTCTCTCAAACAAAGACACACACACACACACACACACACACACACACACTTAAGTGATGACTTGAAGAGGTGCTATTGAGAATGAAGTGTGAAAAGAGCAGTGGAGATGTCTGTGACCGACTGCAGAGTGTGTTTATGTGAGAGGTTATATATTCTGTGTGTGTGTGTGTGTGTGTGTGTGTGTGTGTGTGTGTGTGTGTGTGTGTGTGTGTGCGTGCACCGGCCACTCTTGTCCTTGAGTTAGCACAATAGCATTGTGAGGAGGTGAGGTGGCAGTTGACCCCGGCGTCACCCTTAATTTTGTCGACAATAGGTGTGTGTGTGCGTTCTCTGCTCTTCGTGTCTACATATTGTATCCAGTGCACACTAGAGCAGTCTGAGGATAAACGTAATTTACCTTTTTAAGCATTGATATAAAAGTAAGCTGCAGGAAAGAGAAGTTGGCCCTCAGAGAACGCTCACTGTAGCTCCTTTAACTATTTCTATTATCAAGATCAGAGAAATGTAAAGGAAAGGAAATATGGACTAACAAAGAAATATAATCTGACCATCCACTATTTCTTTCTTTAATTTTTTTGTTCTGCACATTACTTACTTTTCCTTACCATCATTTAAAATGGTGTGACTCTCAATATTATCAATAAAAATGTAATTCATTAATTGTTTATAATAATTAGCTTTTAGGGGGAGGGACAAGCTATGTATTATAATGTATAGCAGTAGAATAAAAAAAGCTAAACCTCAATTAAGATTATATTTTGACTAATCAGTTTCTTGACAAGACACAATGCAACACTTTGAATGCATCTTTATATCATGAAGAGTACCAGGCCCCACAGTAGTCTGTCAAACGCTCCATAACAGTTTTTGTATTTAATGTGTTCTGAAGTTGTCACATCACATCAAATCAACACTGCACTAAAAAATGTCCAGCAGTTTTCCTCCAGCATTAGT